TATTCCCATGTTATATAGCAGTTATATTCTGTGTTTGCTGGGTTCGTATTCGCGAATACAGATTTTTGTATATTCGGAACATCCCTAATACACACTAGATCCTGACTCTTATAGGCCTAATTTCTTATTATTTTTTTCATATGTAAGGATATTATTGTCGATAAATATACATACCCAGACAGCACAAGGATGTCCTTAGGACGTCCAAAGGGCATCCAGGACATACATGTAGGATATCCTGAGGATATCCTATTTTAATCCTCGGATCTCCTCTGGATGTCCTGAGGAAGAGTAAATGATAGCCATACACTAGCCTCTGGAGAATCCAGGGAGATCCTGTGGAACACCTTAAGGATTTCTATAGGATATGTTAGGGATATTTTTCATACGTTAAAAGGAACAAATTCTAAAATTTAAATATAAATTAAGATTGCGTTTTGTTATTTACTGCTAATACTAAAAATCTAATACTAAACATAATGCCATTATGAACAAAAGCATTGTAATCCTAGTGTTAAACTTTAACGGTTCCGGCATAAATTAACAGTTACGGCCTGCATAAACCAGCCTTAAGCGGATGGAAGTGCCTATATATAAGTGGACACTTAAGATGGCCGCTCAGGGACGAATTGTAGCATGACAGAAATACTGGAAGTACCTCAAAGGCCTGGCAATGCACCATGATCTTACAATTAACACTTATTAATAATATTTGTTTAGCCTAAAATTGGCTGTTCCTCTCACTTATTTAGAATGGTGATCGTGCGCAAAATAAGTGCAGACTGGAATAAGTAAGGCAACAACTGGCTGTACACGGCCCTGAAAAAGGTCGAAAAAAGTGGACGCTCAAAATGGCTGCGATGATGTACTACCGTTCTCTCTGGCTGCGGTCCGAAACAAGCTTACAGCGCTAACAGCATGTTCATAGCCGGTCCGATTCACGCTCGCAGTGTTCTAATGAACAAAGTGACGTCATAGATACGTGACGTTTCAGCGCTCACGGTGCCCCTGGTTGGAAGGTAGGTCACCATGAGCATCCTAGTTACGTGACGTCAGAAATGCGCGGAAAAGCAACGATTAGAAAAGGAGGAAGAACATTAGTATATTCAACATAATTCTCGACGCGAGGTCTATTATGTATTTTATCTCTTCTTTCATTTAAATATAAATTTATAATTTCTACAAAATTTCTTGTTTCGTCCTCTTCACTATCGCTACTTAAAGATGTATTCATTATAAATTCTAAATCACTATCATCGCTTTCGCAATAAAATTCCAAACATTGCAACAATATACTTTTCTGCTCTTTATTCTCCATTTCAACGATAAATAAGATGAATATTAAACATATAATAAGATTTGAAAACTTCCAAGCATATTGTAAAAAACAAATATTATAGAATTTTAGGTTATACAGCACGTTGCTTGCTTGCTTGCTTGGGTTTTGGGATTGGCTCCAGCGAATACTCGCTATACGGCCATAAACTGGTTTTAAAGATAGAATAATGTCGTATATATGTAGGTTCCTCTTGGGGGAAGGAAGGAATTTGTGTTAGGGAGGTGGTAGGAAAGGAAAAATAGGAAAGCGCAGGCCAGGGTCGGAGTCGGGAATCGAACCCGAGTTCTCTGGGATGTGAGTCAGGCGCGCTACTCCCTGAGCCACCAGAGGATTTTGCGTATAACATTTATAACTCTTTAGTATAATCTGATTGCTGTACATAGTACCCACACACATAAGAAACGATAAAATTAGCTGTGCAGCAAAAATCAATGGCTGCGTTCAGCAGAAAAAGCAGCTTTGTAATTGTTGTAAAATTCTTTAATATGATTGGTTCTTGCCCTTAGTTCCTGCCGGATCTAAATGTATAAACCAATCATATTAAAGAATTTTACAACAGTTTCAAAGCTGCTTTTTCTGCTGAACGCAGCCATTGATAATTGATAGCAGACTACAAAAGTTGTCATCTTAAATGATTTGGCGGCTGTAGATGCAGCCGAAATTTTGGCATTTATATGATTAGGTGACATAAATTCGCGGGATGTCCCTGTTAATTCGAAGATGTGGATTCGATAATTATTGGCGATACATGAAACTCATAAATCCCGTGAAGATTCGCGAATTACATATCTCGTTAATTAACCTAAGATCTGTAAGAAACTTGTGCAATTTGCACGTGAGTTCAAATATTTTGGATAATAGAATTAGAAGATGCTTAGATTATGTCGCGAATCAATATAAAAATAAATCCTGGGAAAATAATTTCTTCGAATTCATCGATTTAAATACTATTGATGGCTTGTTGAACGAAAGAGTGCAACTCGTAGAAAATATTCAGAATTTACAGGATCTAGGTGAATAGAGAATATTTTCGTATTAAGTTTTTTATATTACCTATAGTATATAATGAGATAAATTTTTTTCATAGCGAAACAGGATGTAGAAATGAAAAAGTTAGCTGAGGAAGAAGAAGCATTGTACAAGGAACAATTGAACAAACTCGATGAGAGATTGTTAGACAATATATTGATCAATATATGTAAGGAATCTTATGATAGTGTTATCGTGGAGATAACGGCGGGGGTTGGTGGCCAGGAAGCAATGTTATTTGTTAAGGATCTTTACGATATGTACATGGGTTATGCTAAATATTTAGGCTTAACTTGTGAAGTAATAGATATGGAGACAAATGATAACAATGGCATTAGACACATCAGTGTTATGATGTCTGGTGATGAAACCTACAAATTGCAATACGAAGGCGGTGTACACCGAGTACAACGGGTACCAGCCACAGAAAGATTAGGCCGAGTACATACTAGTACCGCCTCGGTAGCGATCTTACCAGCGCCGTCAAAAGTACAAATTGCAATTAATGAAAAGGATCTGAAGATTGAGACAAAAAGAGCGTCTGGTGCGGGCGGTCAGCACGTGAATACCACTGATTCTGCGGTAAGAATAGTCCACTTGCCGAGTGGGCTGAGCGTGTCCTGTCAAGCGAACAGATCGCAGATCAAGAACAAGGAAATGGCTATGACTAAGCTAAGGTGTATCCTGTATGAGCAGCAATTAAACAAACAGACGACATTCATAAGCAAGCTACGACAGAAACAGATGGGAATGAGATTAAGAAACGAAAAGGTCAGAACATATAACTACAATCAGGATCGTGTGACTGATCATAGGCTACAGAATGGAACTTTCTACAATTTACCAGAATTTATGCAAGGTGGAGTGGCGCTAGAGAAACTGGAGGAAAGATTGCACAAAGATATGCAGATGAAAACTTTATTGGAAGTGATTAATAAGTTGGAAACACAATTAAAATAATATTAATTTTCTCTCGTATTATTCTGATATAAAAATGTTTTTGTTTTATATAAAGGGAGGCAAGACATTGTATATAGCAAATTGTAATAAAATCTATATAATAGAAAGAAGAGTCATATATACTTTCTGATCTTGTGAAAATTTCATTTTCTTTCATTTTTTTCTAGCAATAGTATAATCTATACTATTGTTTCAATGGTTCACTTAATAAATGCAAAAGATTTATTTATTTATTTTTTTTATTATATCTCTTAATGTAAGATGATCCTTTTTATACCTAAATTGCGTGCTTAAAAACACGTAATTTTATGCATTTTGTATAAATACAAAAGTATAAATACAATAATATACAAAATTCTTAGATGAATAATATTATAATTTCATCTTTTAGATTACCTATATGGTGACTTCTTTTTACTCTCTTTCTTATAGTTGCGAGTTGCTCGTCACTGATGTACACATATACATACATATATATGTCTCTGCATGATAAGTGAATTTTTGCATATCTATCTTGGCCAGACTAAATCCAAGTGGATTGCACACAAGATACTGTTCTCTGAAAATACTTCAGCACGCAGCATGATTGCGATCATAACAAAAAAATCTATCAAAATGTTCTTTTACTTAAATTATCCAGCACATTATCTACATCTAATTTTTTAATAGGGGCTTTTGTACTTTTGCGGATATGCAGATCATGAAACAATTATTTATCAGAGATTAGCCCCACCATCTTTCTTGATTTCTTCATTATGGAGATTTGTTCTCTCGTCTTTATCATTTCCTACATAAAAAAATGTTATATAATTATTACATTTTTTAAATATTAGTTTGCACAGATGAGATGAAATAATAATACATATATGTTTAATAATTTAATACCTTTTGATTCCAATTTTACATCATCCTCTTTTTTCATATTAATATTCATGATATGCAAATCCATATCCTGGCCTTTTTCCAAACGTGGTCGCTTCTTAGTTCCCTTTATCAAAAAAAAAAAAAAAAAAAAAAATAACAAACTCAATTCTGCAAATACCAAAAAACTCCTTTTTATTGGTATTGAATATTGCTTTCGAAGCATCTTCTATACATTTAAATCGTATAAAACCGCATCCAACTAAGCTTCCATCTGGACGTTTTAAAAGGTTTACTTCTGTAATTTCACCAAACGGTTTATAAAATTTTTTTATATCCTCTTCTGTTACCTAACAAAATATAATTATATCATATCTTTTAAATTAAATATAAAAGATTAAATTATATACACACATATATATATATATATAGTATTAAATTTTTTATTAAAGATCATTACTTTATATGATCTGTTATCTCTTCGTCCACCTTCTCCTTCATCTTCACTATCACTGTATTCATTTTCATGTTGTATCCTCTTGTCCAAATCATGTTGAGATAGTCTTTCATCAAGATTCATCTTTTCTTCTGGTTCAAAAACATCGACAATAGCACCATCCTCTGGAATTGCCTGAACTTGCACACCAGGTGCATGAGGTAGCATTCTTAGGTTTTCAAATAATCTCGTTCTACAATTAAATGTAATTAATTTTAATTATAATATACATACAAAACAGAGAGAGAGAAATAATATTATAAATATAACTTACTTAATCTTCTCAAGATATTCGGGAGTGTTTTGATTTGTCATATTTGAAGGACTAATGTGTAATTTAAAGTCAGGACCAAAGTACTCAAAATAATCATTATATGGAAGTTCGTTCGCGATTTCAGATCCCAGAGCTACAGACGTCTCATACGTCCAACATCTGGACACATTTCTGATTGTGTAGCCACCACCTCCTACCATCAAGAAGGGTAAATTATACCTTTTTACAAATTCTACGCATTTGCCATGACCTTTCACAGTCAAATTAAAACATCCCAATCGATCGCCTGCATAAAATTAATATTAATTAATATTTATATTGTAAAATTTTGTATTTTTATTATATAACATTTATTATATAACTTTATTATATAACAATTATGTATCAATTTCTTTTAAAAAATCTTACCAGTCAATGAGTCCGCACCACATTGCAAAACGACAGCAGAGGGTTGGAAAGTTTCCATTACTTTTGAAATGATAGGAACAAATATTGACTCGTAACTTTCATCATCCATACCATCTCTCAAAGGTATGTTAACAGCGTAATACTTTCCCTATTAGAATTGTAAGAAAAAATCATATATATATATATATGTATATATGTGTATGTATGTATGTATTTAATAATGATAAATTATTTCAGATAAAGCAATATGAGGGAATAATTATAATATTTAAAAAACTCTCACCTTTCCTGCCCCGATATCACGGAGATCTCCAGTTCCAGGAAAATATTCGCCATATTTGTGAAAAGAGACTGTCATTACTCTATCTGTTGTATAAAAAGCTTCTTCCACACCATCGCCATGATGAACATCAATATCAATGTACAAAACTCTCTGATGATATTTCAGCAGCTCCAAAATTCCGAGTACAATGTCGTTTACATAGCAGAAACCTGATGCTTCGCTCTTTTTCGCGTGATGCAAGCCACCACCCCAATTGATACAGATTTCTGATGCTTGTTTGTTGAGTTTTACAGCAGCAGCTACAGATCCACCAGCTGATAATTGACAAAACTCATACAAGCCATCAAAGACAGGGCAATCTTCTCCTACATTAACTGTCATTAAAAAGAAAACATGAAAATTAGTTTTTAATTTCAAAATGTCTTTAATATCAATAATATAACTTATTCAACAAGGATATCTTACATCGTTGCATTTGTTTATTGTATTCTGTCATATTATCTGGCCGTATGGATCTCAAAAATCGGATATAATCGTCGCTATGAAACTTTGTCATTTCTTCTTGTGTGGCTTTATGAGGCCGCTAGATAGTAACCAATATACAATATTTTTCATACTTAATGACTAAACATAGTTGCATCAAGAGAAATTATGCTTTTTCATACAAATAAAAAATGACGAAAAATTCTTACATATATTTCCATCTTTCTATAAAGACCATAATTCAAGAGTAGATTGTGCGTCATCTTTATACGATGAGGTTTCATAGGATGTCCTTGACCATAATAATAATTTCCAATATCACCTAGAGAAATAAAAGAATACATACCACACGTTGATATATAAAAGAACACAATATTTAAAAAATACATAATGAAATGCATCAAAATATTCATTTAAAAAGAGACACTACGGTGCGGCGGAGTACACTTGAGAGTCTCTCACAATTTCCTATAAAAACTATACAAATTTTCACTAAGTTTGCAAACTATAGATTTACATAAAAAAATATTTACGCAGAGCGTAAATCATATTAAGAAATAATACATCGAAGTCTATATTATTCAATAATTTTGCAAAATCTAGGCATTTTTCATTATTTCAATTTAAGACTACTAGATTTTTACTAAAAAAATAATGTTGCATAATCATAATAAATCATAATTTTAAATATAATATTTAATTATTGTTTCAGACAAAAATTTAAAAAATTGTTTGTAAAAATGTTTATTTATTGACTTTTTTCCGTACGATAAAATAGCTACATGAAATTTACATTTTGAGGAACTAAATTATGTGATTATCTATTATAATCATAGTCAATTGATGAATTATGATTATTAAGAATATTAAGATATAATAACAGGGAATGATAAGGAATGACTCGGTAACTCGATAATGTCAAATTCTTTCATATACGGTGTGAAGCATGGCTGACGCTATGGTCGCGTGATAACAAAGCTGAGAATTTATCGGCTTAACTCTACGAAAACCGTATTATTGAGTGCAAGGATGCAAATTTTGATATATTGTATTAAAATATAATCGTACTTCGTAATTTATAAATCAATGAAGCGCAATCAAGTTGATGAGCAATCGAATACTGAGCTAAATCAAAGGTATTATATGAGGAGGGGTACGAATGCAAGCTGAACATTTGACAAAGTCCCGAAGTATATTTTTACTGATTTTCTCTTCGATTTTCTCAATACTTACTATCATAATAGTAGCAGACTCGTTTCTTAGGTTGCTGCATAGCTCCACTCAGATTAAAATCAATGAAACACGTAATTTGGAATAAAACGTAGGAATCGTTTACTACGACTATATAGAACCAAAATTCCACCTGCAATTGCTTCAATTTGCACCCGAATGCACTCGAACGATTTTGTTAGAAGGGGAAAACTCCCCTCTCAAAAAGACTGAGGGCAGAGAGAAACCTGAGAGGGGCCACGCCGCCGTTTTTCCTGTAACGCTTTCTCTAGCCGGTACAGTGGCGCTAACTGGATCCATTTTAGAGCCGGCGGAACTACGTGGCCGGATCCACTTTTCGGTGCCATGGTAAAACGATCGATTGGTGCATGTCCGTGCTAGATCCACAATTATGCTGGATCTAGCATGGGCCGCGTTCAGCAGAGAAAGCGCTCAGTTATCGTCTCGTCAACACTTGACGTTGATTCGTTGATTCTAAAAGTAAGAACCAATCACATTCGATTGCTACTAAGCGGTTTTCTCTGCTGAACGCGACCATTGACATACATCAATCGGCCGTTTTAATCAAAAATACGAAAATATTATAGATTTGTTAATATTTTATGTTAGCTGCGCGTGATTTATTTTTATTTTAATACATATTATGGACGGTATATGTGTTATTGAAATTATTATAATTATTTTATGTATATCATCTAATGTAAAATATATGTATAATGTATATTATATATGTATAATATATGTTATTATATTAAAATATTTTTTTATAAGTATTGAAATTATTTTATATACGCGCACATGTAAAATATTATTCTCGCAAAAGAGAGAAATAAATAATAACTTTAGACTTTAAGAAACTAAATTTATTCTAGAGTAAATTGTAAATTGTAAAAATTGTAGTGAATAAATTTTTCAGTTATTTACAGGAAATCTAACAGATTTCCTCGTGATAGATCTGCTAGTTAAAGATTTGTGTAATTATTTCAGCTGTGATTGTGATCTTTTTCTTAATTAAACATGTTATCAAAATTTTGATTATTTATTTAGTAAAAAATTATTCGATTTATGTCATGCTTGGTGTCATTTTAATCGTAAAAATCTCATTAATCCATTACAATTATTTTCAAACCGCTAAGTTGCGAAATACAAAACTTTTATTTTCTATAGTAATATGACATATATATATGAAAGATTAGAGATAAAAGGAGCCTCGCGAGAGAGACTTCGGAACTCTTTGATGTTAGTCATCTCGCTTGCTCTTCATTCGTTCTCGCTCTCGCTTTCGACGACTCTCCAGCAACGAGGATCTTTCCTTATTTACAATACATAAACATAAAATAAAAACTAAAACTTTTATTTTGTATTTTATCGATTTGAAAATAATTATAATGGTTTGATAAGATTTATGCGATTAAAATATAGCATCAAACGCGACATAAATCGAATATATCGTACATTTAAATATATCATACGTTTAAATATTATACATTATTTTTTAATAATAAATAAATATTAATAAATACAAATAAATATTAAAAAAGGAAAATAAATCTTAGAAAATTTGGATTCAAAATTTAGTTTTCAAAGTGATAGAGTGATGAACACTTTCTCTTGGACTACTGCGTATTGTTAAAATTTATGTCAACGCTATCAGTATACTTATGTAACATATAACATTCTCGCATAAAACTTTATAAAGTCTTTGTTTCTAGATTAAATATATTATTTGTAAGTACTCGAGATGCTTTTGTTCAAGGATAATAGACAAGGTAAAAATATTTTCTATGCAAATGTTATTTTGTATTAGAAGAAAGAAATTTATTTTATTTATCGTACTCAACATTATAAAGATTACAAAACTATACACAATAATTTATTTTGTTTTACAAGGATTGTTTTATTCACTACAATTTTTACAATTCACAAGTTTTACTCTAAAATAAATTTAGTTTCTTAAAGTCTAAAGTTATTATTTATTTCTCTCTTCTTTGCGAGAATAATATGTGCGCGTATATGCATAAAATAATTTCAAGGTAAATATGCCGATGAAAGGAGGCAGTCCCGATGACCTTGACCTTGACATATGTTATCAAA